TCGAGGATGATGGAATGCGCTCATGTGACCAGATGTTACGCATTAGATCACTAATGGAGTCTACAAGGTCATCGCCCTCCATCTTGAAAAGAGTGGGAGAAGCCCATCCGGTCCTGCTGCTTTTCCTTTCTTCAGAGCTTTGATGCATGATCGAACTTCTGCTGCAGTAGGAGGTTCACATGACACTTTCCATGGAGCCGCAAATACAACAGATGATATAGTCTGGTTAGCACCTGACCAGCTGAACTGTTCGTTGAAGTACTCCGCCCACCGGTCAAGCCGTTGTTCTCTATTGTGGATAGCTTGTCCACTTTTGTCGCAGATTGTTTCACTAACTGTGATTCTCCGACCTCCAGTGTTGCGTATCAGTTGGAACAGTTTTTGACTATTCCCTGATGTAGCTGCTATTAGCTAGCTATCGTTTCCCACCAGTTTTCACGATCTTTCTTGAGGCTCTTCTTGAGTTGTCGTTGCAGACGCCACCTACCCCTGCCTGGATTCCGGGCGGTGGGGATTTGGCGCTTTTCCTCCATCAGTGCTACTGAATCATCGGATATCCGATGCCTCAGGTGGGCTACCGCTTTTAGACCCACAAGCAACTCTGGCAGCGGAGTGCATTGCTCGTCTAATCTGATCCCATTGTTCGTCTACACTATCACCCCGCCAAGCGTTTAGCTCTTGTCCTAGTTCTGATTCAAAACAGACATGAACGGCTAGATCAGATAAACGATCATCTCCCAACCATGTTTGGCAGGGTTTTTGTGACCAGTGAGTTGAAGAGTAAACTCCGTCAACACTAATGCATGATCACATTCAAAGCCACGCCAACGATAGCTTACTGCTATGTGATCGATTTGAAGTAGCGTACCAGTTGAACTGGAGCTCCACGTTGCTGTCCGTTGAGAGCGGTGTCGGAAGTTGGTGCTTGATAGGAACAGATGATCATCTGCGCAGAACTGAAGAAGTCGATCGCCGTTATCTGTTCGTTGGCAGGGCAGAGCACGACTCTCTGGCCTTGATGGTAAAACGCTGAGTGATATTTGATGGGTGGCGTTAACAGGGGACATCTGGGATTATTCGGGGTTGGGAAGAAGAACCAAACAGATGGGAAGGGTGGTTTCCAAATGTTTGCCTAAGAATTCAGGGCACGGCATACTTCGCGGTACCCCACACCGACGAAGGGGTTTTTCTTTGGGAACGCTAACGGGAGCCTTTGACTCAATAGTCTGACCCACAAGGCAGTGGGGCGTAAATCCAACGCGGGAGTGTGAATGAAGCACCCGTGTGGGAGCTTCTGGAGACCTGTCACGCAAGGCCTTTGAATTTCGGTTCAGCGCGTTGTTCGCTGGTGCGTTGATTATCGGTCCTCTTTTCGGGATCAGCCCTCAGCCTCATGCACCCAATGAGACAAGCGGAACGTGGACGGGACAGCACCTTATTGGCTGGGGGCTGCCCAGCTTGAGCGGGCGGTAGCTGTCCAATGAAGTGCGAAGACTTCTCCCACCGTCGAGAGGAAGCCCCAGGTACCCCGCTCCTACGTCCATCTAACGGGGTTTTTTTGACCGGTAAACTGCCCCTCACCGTGTTTATTTGCTGGAGTGGCCTCTCCAGGGGCGGGTGTGGATAGAGGAGGGAAGCCAGGAGGGGCCCAGCAGCTG